TAATTAGTATATTCGTCATTACGAATTATAATCATTCTTTGTGACCCTTTACCAATTTCTTGCTAGCCCCCCTTCCCTTCCCCCTTCCCACCTCTAGTAACCACAGTTCTGTTCTCTCCTTTTGAGAGTTCAGCATGTTATTGGGATTGTATATCTTTCTTTGTTTTTTAGCTCCCACTTATAAGTGAGGACATGCGGTATTTCTCTTTCTGTGCCTGGCTTATTTCACTTAACATCATTTTCTCCAAGCTCACCCACGTTGCTGCCAATAGCAGAATTTCATTCTTTTTATGGCAGAGTAGTATTCCACTGTGTAGATACACCACAGTTTCCTTATCCAGTCATCCGTCAATGGACATTCGGATTGGTTCCAACTCTTAGCCATTAGAAATAGAGCTGCGATAAACACAGGGGTGCAGGTGTCCCTTTCCCTGTTTCTATCACCTGCCTGGGCACGGAGGAGCTCTGAGCCGGGGACCCTGCTTCGAGGGAGGGGCACAGGGAGGGTGACTCACGTGTCCGCTGGCCACTTCACTACCGCCTGAGGTTGCGTTTCATTCTCGGTTGTGGTTTCCTTTTCTGTAAAATGAGCTCACACCCCCAACCTCAGTTTTGCTGTGCAGAGAAAGCTAGATCATTTAACGTTTAGCACAGTGCTCACTACATAGGTGTTTCGTAAGTGGTGGCCGCTACCACCAGAACCATGACAGAAAAGAACCCCACAATGTCGCTTCCCAGAAAGGTGCGAGGCTCGCTGGAACACAGGCGTCAGGTGCCAGTGACGCGGCCTCTCCACGTGGCAGAATCCCACGCCCTAACGTCGTCCTCTGCCCTAACGTCGTTCTCACCTTCCGTGTTAGGGGCAATGACAAGGAGATATGTCCCCCTCCCACCATACACACAAGCACTGGTGTGTTCATGCAGGGATAAAATAGCTTGCTGGTTTTTGTCCTATTTTCCAGCAATCTTTCTCTCGTATAATCAATTCAAAGATACCCAAATCATCATGACATGGGCTTCCACAAAAGCGAAGGCTTACTACAAATCCAAAGGAATTAGCCTGCCATGAATTGGTAGCACGGTGGGTTTCAGTGTCTCCGAGTCTGGGGAGGAGTTTGAGGCTATTGGTATATCCAGTCCCATCAGACGGCAGCTTAAACCTATTTTCCAGCAATCTTTCTCTCGTATAATCAATTCAAAGATACCCAAATCATCATGACATCATGGGCTTCCACAAAAGCGAAGGCTTACTACAAATCCAAAGGAATTAGCCTGCCATGAATTGGTAGCACGGTGGGTTTCAGTGTCTCCAAGTCTGGGGAGGAGTTTGAGGCTATTGGTATATCCAGTCCCATCAGACGGCAGCTTAAACGCAGGAGAGCATCTGACCAGCACGGGACTCAGCCACTTCTGAGCATGAATTAAACACGGCAGCGCCTTGACAGTGTTCCCAGAACCACGAGGGGACAGACTCAAGGCTATAACTTTGCTAAGTGAAGCGTCTGGTTTTGTGCTCATGCGTCAAACAGGAAGCACTGTGCACCCTGGTGTGATCAAATGGGCCATGGAACTGTCATGACAGCGCATAACTAGGCCCTTCTGTTGTCAATCTCAAGGGCTGATTTATTTCAAAGAATAGAGACTACAGAGAGCTTGGACATTTCCAAATAATAACCTATACATAGAATGGCAAACGTGTGTTATTTTACTTCATCTCCAAAGCACGAGAAAGGGAAGATATGTGTGGCAATGGGTCAATCTTTCCTGAAACTCCTAAGACCAACACCCTCCCAAATAATGCTGAGAACAGGCAAGTGGTCAAAGACTTAGGACTTGGCACAAGAGGCTGGTGGCCTGAGGCCTTGTCTACCAGTGTTCACATACAAGAAATGTTAGAGGTGACCAGGGACTGAACATAAACATTTTCTTTAAGGGGAAAGGTGCCTGACATTTCTCAAAGAAGCTCGGTAATTAATTCAGCTGCCATTTTGCCAGAAACAGAGCCTCCGGGGGGCACCTGTTTGTTTTTGCTGCCCAGCACCCACCGGCCGTGCTCCATGCCTCCCCCTGGAGAGCCACCGGTCCACTCTCGGAGGGAACTTCCAATCCAAGTCCCTGTGTGTGAGCAGGACCGAGACAAGTGATTGTCGCACCTTCGTGGCTGGTCTCAGGGGTGTGTCTCCGTCAAAACTAATCAGACACCATGAGACTTTCACTGGGGTTTATGAGAAGAAAGCACATTGTCCCTGCTGGACGTGAATGAAAGAAGACACACGGTCTGAAGTGGCAGCAGTCACCTTTGAGCACGGGCATGAGGTGTTTGTGATGTCCCACAGAGGAACAGGGGAGCGATGCAGAGACAGAAGCCACACCCTGGTGACTCCATCCGATCCCTTTATCTCGACACTCCTGAAGACAGATCAACCCTAGACTTCCCTGTTACACGATCCCCAAATCCCCACTTTGATTAAACATGCTTGAGGTGGGTTTCTCTCATGCGTAACAGAAAGGGGCCCAGCTGTTCTGTGTACCTGGAAAAGCAGTCAGGAAAATGCCTGCTGTGTGGACACTCCCCGCTAAGCCACACGGCCCCACAAGGAAGCCCAGCATAAACACATTTTGCACCCCACTCCCAGCCCAACACCCTGGCAGTGCCCAGCCCACCCTCGCCAAAAGCCATTTCACTGAGACTAAACACACTGCAGCAAACCTCAGTCCAGGAAGCTCTGCAAATGGAGGGGAGGGCGGCTTAAGCATAAAAGAGTTCTAATCTGGGAAGGAAATGCAGAGGAAACAACAGGAAGCAAGAGCTGGAGGAAATTTAATAAAGACAGAAATTAGGGGGGAAAGCAAGTTAGCAGGTGGCGCTCGCCGAGGCAGGCCCAAGGAGCTGGGGCTTACTGAAAACCCTACAGTCCCTCTCTCTAGTTCTGATCTGTGCACTGTATTTGTAGTTTTTTAAGGCTCTGGATATGTGGCCTTATGCTAACTGGCATTATTGGCAAAGGCGTTACTAGGGGAAAAGTGCAGTACATTTATCCTGGAAAAAAAAGTCTTGGGGTTAAAAAAAAGAAGAGTGGTCTATCTGTTCTAAATTTAGTTTAGAAACACTTCACCTTCTGGCTGGGGATTGCAGAATGACATGACAGTGTTCAAAGCTGTGTTCTCCTGCAATTAAATATTTTGTCTGAGAAAGCTGCTACCTTGGATGACTAAACTCATCCAGCCATCATAGCAGCCTGGAGGCTGCAGGCGGATGTGGACCGCAAACCTCCCTGTCATGCTCTTTTACCTGCCTGTAATCCCGCCGACTGGGCCAACTGTCGAGCTAGGGCTGGGTCTGGAGCTCACAGACCCCTGAAGTCCGTTTTCCAGACTGGGTCACAAACTCTTCACATGCCAGGCTGGATCCCCAGACCCCTCATGCCAGGCTGGGTCCCCAGACCCCTCATGCCAGGCTGGGTCCCCAGACCCCTCACATGCCAAGTCTATGAGCTATGTAACTGGCAAAGGGTCCTTGGAGCCATAGGTTTGAGATCATTGCCACACAGAGTGGACGCCTGAGCAGTCAACGCCAGCCAGGTGGTGGCACTGTGCATATGCACTAACTCCACCGACACACAACTTATTTACAAAGAATGTGCCGCACCACCCCCAACCGGACCCAAAGTGAGGAGGCCTGATTAAATTATTCTAGTTTCCCAACACTTCCTCTGAGGTCTGACCTTGCAAGGGGGCTTGGCATGCTTTGGGCTGGAGGAGAAGTCGGTTTTGTGTCTGTTTTGTTTGGTGCATGGGATACCTGTGGGAGGAGGAGGAAGATCAGAAGGCTCCTTCAGGGCAAAGCCCAGGAGGGACAGGGTGGTCGGGGAGAGCCACACTGACGGTCCCCATCAGACTACCAGGCGGCAGACACTAGCTTTCTTAAGCAGGTAACATGCAGTAGTGGCACCAACAAGACAATGCCCTAAGCAGCTGGCCCACGACAGCACTCCACCTGAGGCCATACTGCGAGGACAGGGACAGTGTTTATTCTGGGCACATGGGAGGCTCCTGCTGAATTTCCCATACTCACCTGCGAAGGAGACTTTAAACTTGGGAAGAAACATGGGGCCAAATAGTCTGGAATTAAGGTTCCTATAAGTCCCTTTATACTCTCCAGGAGTATAGCCTAAGACATCCCAGTTATACCACAAGTCTCCCCAAAATCCTCAAGTGTACCCACAATTCTAAAGAAATGTACATGAGGGCTGGCTACATCTCAGCTGGTTACAGCATAGCCTTCTAACACCAAGGTCAAGGGTTCAGATCCCCTGTACCAGCCAGCTGCCAAAATAATAAAAAATAAGAATAAAGAAAGAAAGAAATGAAAAATTTACTTCCACACACTTACAGCAAGCAACTGAGACTGCCCATACGGGTGACCCACAAAGAGCCCTGAAGCCCAGGATGGATGATGACCTTGGTCTGCCACTGGCAAGACTCACAGCTTCCCAAATGCACCACTCATCGATGAACGTTCTGGACACGCAAACTAATTTAATAGCAACTTAAGTCACCTGATTAAGAAAGTTGTTCAATGCATTCTGAAGAAAAATAGAGGAGATGTTTCACACTCTGCATGATCTATCTACAAAACAGCTTGTCTTCATTACAATGAATGAGAACTAACTGCGTTTCTAGTCCACCCTTTGGGACAAATGTCATAACGTGTTCACAAGCTGCCCCACCATCTTCTTGAAGGCAGCACTGTTATGTTTATATGGGGTTCCTCTCTATTCATACACACGTTATACCCGTTTTTGGAAGCAGTAACAATGAAGATGGTTTCGTTTATTTTTCATGATTCTACGATGTCAGGTATTCCTTTTCGTTCACACGAAAACCACGTGCCTTGACACCTGCAGGTGGATTGACACATTCCCTCTATGCCAGGGTCCTCACTAGGTTTTCAGCCCCATAAGCTGCGTGTCCTTCAGCCACGCACCGGCTCCACTCACCGAGCATGAGAGACGCAGTCATGACTGGATGGCGGGTGCTGCAGAGGGTCTTCTTTCTGATTTCCAGACTTTACATAACAGGATCTAATTTCCCCTGTAAAATCATGAAATTTTAGCATAGAACACTGCACAGTTATTTGTATATGATCATGTCAGCTTATACTATTCTCAAGTTAAAGGCAGCTCACTCTGGGCTGCTTTAATAATAATCATTGACAATCTAAGTCCGTTCTTCAGTTTGCCAGAGAAGGCACATCATAAGATGAAGGACGTCTAGAAGAAACTTTACTGGGAAAGTTTTCTTTGACATACCCCCACCACCACCACCCCCCAACCTCACTAAGGCTTAATCCCCACTGTAGCTGTTGAGGGTGGGAGATCCCATTATGGTAATTGAAAGGTGGGGCCTTGAAGAGGTGAGAAGGCACATCATAAGATGAAGGACGTCTAGAAGAAACTTTACTGGGAAAGTTTTCTTTGACGTACCCCCACCACCACCACCCCCAACCTCACTAAGGCTTAATCCCCACTGTAGCTGTTGAGGGTGGGAGATCCCATTATGGTAACTGAAAGGTGGGGCCTTGAAGAGGTGGTTGGATTGTAGGACTGTGCAGTGGTGCATGGATTAGTAATGGTGGTCAGGGACGTGGTTCTGAGGGCTTTAAAAGGAGAGGGAATGAGCAGGTTAGTCTCTCTCTGCTCTGTCATTTTGCAATGGGATACCCTGCCATCACTGAAGTCACCACCAAAGAAAGCCTTCACCAGTTGTGTCCCCTGGACTTTGGACTTCCAGCCTCTGAAACTGCAAGCAATAAATTTTGTTTTCTTTACAAAGTTTCAAATTCCAGGTATTTTGCTATAAGCAACAGAAACGGATTAATACACTCACATAAGTTTTGACTCGGTTACTTGTTAGTTAATTGCTTTCAATCCATTTATTTGTATCATCTCTTAATTCACTTTTTGCATATTCTCTTATGTGTCAGCGGGCTCTGTGCTAGGCCATAACGGGGTATTATTTTGTATGCACATACGTTGGTATCATTTGCAAATGAGGCATATAAGCATGTGATTTTGACTGCTGGTTAAGTCCCACCACCTATGGCTGGTGGGTCAGCCTGTTCATGGGAAAAAGCAAGGTTGGACTCGGTTTGCAGAGTTAAATTGGTTCTCCTAACAGGGCTCAGGGTATCGAGGTGTGAAAATCAGTTCCCTTCCTAACGTAAGTGGTCTCTCCTCAGGAGAGTTCTTAGGAATACCTTCTCGAGGTGACACAGGAAGCATGATTAACCTTGTCTGTTGTGAGCAGCTTGAAGGTGACCCTCAGCTCAAAGGTGAGCCGCACCAAAAGAAACATTAACTGCAGCAACCACAGCCCCTCTGGAGGCTTCGATATAAGTGCTAATGTTGATCTTTATGACATGAATGTGTCTTAGTATTTCTGCAGATGCAAAAGCACTTATAACTATAAACTACTCAACTCCAGATAAGGTAACTGTATAATTTATTATCCAAGCCAGGATCCTTTTGGAAAGTATAATAACAAGCATCACTTGACCTATAAGGGACTTAAGCTGAGACCCATCCCAGAAAAACTAACACCTATATCTCTTTCAAACTTTGGAATTTGCCACTTAACGATTCTCTATGCACACTATTTTAAATCCTTTCTGCCACAGGGCACTGAAACAATATATCAGGGTCCGATTTCCAACATATATCCAACAGATATTTACTGCGTACTGGGCATCGCTCTCCTGAAGTTTATAGTTGCGAGGGGGGGNATACCCCCACCACCACCACCCCCCAACCTCACTAAGGCTTAATCCCCACTGTAGCTGTTGAGGGTGGGAGATCCCATTATGGTAATTGAAAGGTGGGGCCTTGAAGAGGTGATTGGATTGTAGGACTGTGCAGTGGTGCATGGATTAGTAATGGTGGTCAGGGACGTGGTTCTGAGGGCTTTAAAAGGAGAGGGAATGAGCAGGTTAGTCTCTCTCTGCTCTGTCATTTTGCAATGGGATACCCTGCCATCACTGAAGTCACCACCAAAGAAAGCCTTCACCAGTTGTGTCCCCTGGACTTTGGACTTCCAGCCTCTGAAACTGCAAGCAATAAATTTTGTTTTCTTTACAAAGTTTCAAATTCCAGGTATTTTGCTATAAGCAACAGAAACGGATTAATACACTCACATAAGTTTTGACTCGGTTACTTGTTAGTTAATTGCTTTCAATCCATTTATTTGTATCATCTCTTAATTCACTTTTTGCATATTCTCTTATGTGTCAGCGGGCTCTGTGCTAGGCCATAACGGGGTATTATTTTGTATGCACATACGTTGGTATCATTTGCAAATGAGGCATATAAGCATGTGATTTTGACTGCTGGTTAAGTCCCACCACCTATGGCTGGTGGGTCAGCCTGTTCATGGGAAAAAGCAAGGTTGGACTCGGTTTGCAGAGTTAAATTGGTTCTCCTAACAGGGCTCAGGGTATCGAGGTGTGAAAATCAGTTCCCTTCCTAACGTAAGTGGTCTCTCCTCAGGAGAGTTCTTAGGAATACCTTCTCGAGGTGACACAGGAAGCATGATTAACCTTGTCTGTTGTGAGCAGCTTGAAGGTGACCCTCAGCTCAAAGGTGAGCCGCACCAAAAGAAACATTAACTGCAGCAACCACAGCCCCTCTGGAGGCTTCGATATAAGTGCTAATGTTGATCTTTATGACATGAATGTGTCTTAGTATTTCTGCAGATGCAAAAGCACTTATAACTATAAACTACTCAACTCCAGATAAGGTAACTGTATAATTTATTATCCAAGCCAGGATCCTTTTGGAAAGTATAATAACAAGCATCACTTGACCTATAAGGGACTTAAGCTGAGACCCATCCCAGAAAAACTAACACCTATATCTCTTTCAAACTTTGGAATTTGCCACTTAACGATTCTCTATGCACACTATTTTAAATCCTTTCTGCCACAGGGCACTGAAACAATATATCAGGGTCCGATTTCCAACATATATCCAACAGATATTTACTGCGTACTGGGCATCGCTCTCCTGAAGTTTATAGTTGCGAGGGGGGGAATGTCATTAATTGGACTATTATAAGTAAATAATTAAATATTATCAAGGAAGGAAAAGGACAGGGTGTTAAGACAGCAAAAACCAGATTAACCAGATTAGGTTTGAGGAGTCCAGAAAAGGTTTTCCTGAAAAACTTAACTTACAGCTAAGCTCTGAAAAATAAATAGCACACTGCAGGCACAGGGGCTCAGCATGTGCAAAGGCCCTGAGGCTGCAGGGAGCACACTCTGTCGTAAGCACATTGTGTGGGCAATCACTGGACTAAGTCTTCCTGTTCCAAAGTCCAGTGCTCAGGCTCAGAGACCATGCAGAATCCTGAGAAAGCTGCCAGCTCCCTCCTTGCTCAGCAGAAAAGAGCTCTCAAGACTCACCGTGTTCATCAATAAAGACATGCATAGCATCTACAGATATCTCCTCTTGCACAGACGTTTCAGGCCCACTGATGACTTGCAGGACGGAACTATCTTGCTGGGAAGTCACCCGGTAGATTATCTGTCTTTGTCTATTGCCCTGGAAACTTAACATATATTAAAGTTTCAAAAAAACAATTAGGGGGGCCATGAGCCTCAGCCCCACCCCCAACTACCTGCAACTAGGACAGCAACAGAGCCAGCCAGCTGCCTCTGGGGTCCTAAGACAGGGGCCATGGGCCTCAGCCCCGACCCTGACCACCTGCAACCAGGCCAGCAACTGAGCCAGCCAGCCGCCACCCCCACAACATCTTAGAATGTACTTACTAGCCACGTGTGTTTCTTTGGGGTATGTGACTTATCTGCTCACGTCCTTCAACAAATTTCTTCTTAGATTTTTCTAATTCACTTTTAAGAGTTATTTTGCATTAAGGATGTTAATCTTCATGGGTTAAATTATTTCCTTAACAATTGACTTTAAAATTAATTTGGGATGTTTTCCTTCATTTCTATGTTGAGAAAATAATTTTATATGTAAACATTAAATTAAAACTAACTAAATAAATAAATAAAAGTAATCAGGAATTCCTTCCTATTCTTAACAAAGCATCAGAAACAGCAGCCGGTCGATGAGGCTCTCTCACACTTTGCACCAGAGTTAAATAAGAAAGTTCTCCTTACAAGGCCGTGGTCTTGGCAGGTTGGCTGAATGCATGGTCTTGACTCTGCAACTCTGGTTTTCCTTGCTTGGAATTACGTCCACCGGGCTTTTCACTTTCCAGGATTTCTTCCTTTTTCTCCTGAGAGCGATTATCTGAAAAACATTGCTCTATGTGTTAATATAAATATATGAAATAAATGTGAAAGCCCTTGGAAATAAATTACCAAAACTGAAACAGGAATAGAAGGAAAATCTAAATTGCTCTTCTGAATTCAAAATGCTTTTAAATAAATTTTCATTTTGCTGATTACGAAAATACCTCAATATATTTGAAAAATGGAAGTGCGTGTATATTCGAGACATGTTATTTAGGCCTCCACAAATACCATCTATTTCACATACGGATTCGGGGACTCCCCTGAAATTCTTTAGTGACCACAGACTTGTTCAGCTGGAAAT